ACTTAGATATGGACGTGTAGTTTATGATAACATTTTGTTTTGAACTTTTTAAAAGTATGAACTACTACTTTAGGAATTGTTATTATTAGTAATAACCTATTATGATATTATGATGATATAGTAATATGTTACAAATATTGAGAACACAGGAGTTTGACACGGCTTACAGTCGAAGTAGATTTACGTATGAAATTGTTTATTACCTCGAATATCCGCATTTGATAATTCAATCGTAATAACACGTTTGTAATTAAAATATGTTGGCAGCATAGTAAATATGTTTATAACTACTGAAAGAGTATATAAGAAGGACTGTGATCAATAAAAAGTGATTCAGGTTAAGGCTAAGTTGCGTGATAGTTTTATATTGTATATTGCGTTGAACGAGTTAGTACTTAGCAAGGATTCCAGTTACTATACCGTAGGTTTAGAGAAGTAGTTCTGCGGATTAACGTAAAGCTTATTATAAGTACTGTGTTGTTTTATTGTGTCGCAAGGGTAGTTGGGGCAGATGCACTGTATGTTACTTATGACCTTATCAAATCAAGATACAGTTAAAAATTATCTAGAGAAACACCATCGGATCACGATGGTACATTAGTAACAATTATAATTAGTACCACGTAGTGACAGAAAATAAAACTTAATTTTCTTCTGCCTTTTCTATAGAAAGAGTGTTACAACGGGCGCAATGTTTAGTTATTACAATTATCAAAGTATTATCAATCAATTATCAACAATATATTGCTTTGGTCAAGGAAAATAACTTCTAGATGAAACTTACTACTGTATACAAAAATTTACTGACTTTAACAAATCGTCACCTCTAAACTGATATCGTGATTGATTAAGTATATTGTAGAGCTAATTTTGCGTTTTGCTGGAAATTGTAATATTTTAAGCTGCTTTAGATACCCAATAGTATCCATAACGCCTTAGCTTATAATTATATGGATGATTTTCATCGTATGCTTTAATTTATGTTTAGAAATTGCCGTGATGATGATGAAGAGTATTTCTTTTCCGCATATCATAATGTCAATTTTGTATTTATTTATTCTTTGTAGTGTATTTAGAATATACTGTAACTATATTCTACTCTTAAATATAGACATGTTGTATTGCTCTTATATTTAGACAGATCTACAGTCCGCTTACTCTACATTCATATACAGACTACTGTAATTAGTTATTACGGTACTCGCTGTTTTCTACAATCGTCTGCTATTTTGTAACCTGTTATGGTATATGTTGTATCTAATTCCATAATCCTATTCTCTGCATGTGCTCTATCTTTAAAACTATAAATACCGGCGATTTCTACCTCAGAGTTCGTTAGCCTCTCAGTTAGTCTTCTAGTTAGTCTCTCACAGTCTAATACTTCTACTCGTTACTCACGACAGCTTGCACGCTGATCTACCGTAACAACCTCACTGTACTTCACATACTAACCTACAATAAAGCATAACTTTTATAACCCCTTTGTTGTAATAATTGTAAATGGCGACTAAATCTCAATCCTCTGAGATATCGAACCCTCCATCACATTCTTATTCTGTTTTTAACACCTTTAAAGAATTAACTTGTCAGGGTGTAGCTAAAAGTCGATAGTCAAAGAGAAAATCTGCTAAAATTTATTGAGCTGCTGGGACTTTTCGATCGATCTTGGCAAATTGTCAAGCTAATTCTATATCGTAGATTCTTTAGACGTTAATCAGGTCTTTGGTGAACTATCAAGCAAAGGTTATGAATGGAGCTTCTAAGATTATCTGTCAACTATGATACAGCGAGTAACCTTAGATACGTTACAATTTTTTCTGACAATAATAAAGCCTAAGCACAAAAATTCTTTCACCTGGTTAATACCAGTTTTTTAATGTTAGAATGCATACTCAATGTTAGATCTTACATAATGCAAGATCCTTAGAGACATATTACATAGCGTGTATAATTTCATAATAAAAATTACATCAAAAATTTACCAATATAGAATTAAAGTAACCGTTAGTATTATTGTTTGCTAAATGCTGTAATTGCTACTACAGGAATAAGAATACTGCATTATCGTTTTTGCATTCTAGATATACGTATGAGATCCTATTAATTTTGACTTCCTGGAAAATGCTAGTGTAATGAAATGAAAAGTGTAGAGATCAAGCTACGAAACTTTAACAAACTTTGATTCTACTTTCGTTGCACTCCGGTCGACTTAACGCTAATACTTTGACACCAAATAAAATTTGGGGAAATAACCGAACAATTTATTTCAAAACAAAAATGGAGAGAAGTATAAACCGAACAACCGCACAAATACTTAGCTTTAAGTATTATTAAAATAAATGACAGACTTAAAAACTGTCAACGACCAAACAACCTTTCAAAAAGAAGAACGTTTTAACTTACGACAATTCGACCCCGAAGGTCTTTTAAATTCAACAAGTTCTTCAAATAAAATCTTCTTCTACTCTCTCTCTAAATTTTCTAATTGCACTATCATTTATAGGCTTCGTAGAGCCGTCAGAGGTATTTAAAACTAAACATTTGCTAACCAATCGCTCTTAAGATCCGTTTTAGAAAACTACTTTGCACCATTTAAGAAAACAAAAATCATTCAAAGTTCAGACACAGTTTACCCTACGATTCCCTTACAAAACATTATAAAAGTAACAAGCTAACTATAAAAATACATCAAACTTCATTTCTAACATAATTTCTATCATTAATACACTATAAAAGTCTAAAAATCAACCTTTAAACATCAAGATTTAGTCATAAAAACAACATTCTAACTACCTAACAATCAACACAACCTTCTGCCAATTTCCATCTTATTTTCTATTTTCCTCACTAAATCTCCTAATGTGACTTCAAGTCACGTCATAAAATTCCAAAGTTTCAAATTCATAACAAAAAGTCCAAATCTCAAAAATCAACTCTTACGATATTTTTCATGAACAAAAATCCAAAAATTAAATAGAAAAATTATAATTCAGACATAAATTAAAAATAAACCCGACCGGTTCCAAAACAGGAAAATTATATCGGACACAAACCCGACCGGTCCCAGAATCCGAAAACTATATCGGACACAAATCCGGAAAAATTCGCTTTTTATGAAGATCACAGTAATCGCTTATCAAAAAAATTTATATGACTACTACGACTACTTTTCTGACATTAGTATCGCTTAGTATTCGCGAGTATTGACAGTTGATGTTTTAGCGTCAGATTGTACTGTAACTGTACGAGTATAGACTACATTACAGTACTTTATCGTCATGTA